AAGAGGTTCACAGATACTTGTTTGTTCTGGGGAGGATTTGTGCATTCAATTCTCACGCATCATTTTCTGGTCCATTTAAATATATATCAGCCTCATACATGAACATTTGAAGACCTTTAGCTGTACTCAAGGAAGACTCTTATGTGGTGCGTTTCTAGTACTGGCAAACATAAGGAGGTAGAGGAATTAAACCCACCACAGTGCTCCAGTGCCCCTTAGAAGATGAGGAACACGAAGTTTTCCTGTGCACTCATTAAACTTGGGCTGGAGGTTTGCGAAGTGCAGAGTTTTGGAAAGTCTTTCTGCGGGACTTCAACATCCAATGGCTCCAGTAACCAGAGTCTCCCAAGGACAAGGATCCCATTTGCGCTTGCATTATGCATTTGAGCAGAAGGGTGTGATGCATGATGTGGAATGAACAAAATAATAACTCGTGTGTTTAGGGAAATGCCAAATTAATGAAAATTCAGAAAGCTCTAATGTTGAAAAAAAAAGCACACAAATTCCTTGATAGAAATATAATGCTGCTAACAGTTTCAAGATTATTGTTGTCTGAATTTTCTGCTTATTGTGTACTGCAATTAAAATTCTTCTCAACTGAAAAACCAATGTCAAATTAATATTTCCTTTTGGAAAAAAATACAAAAGTACACATCTTGTTCCATTTAGCACCATCATGGTCTTTGATCAGGTTCCCTCTGTCCAGTGAATAAAACAGATTTATGTTAATGGGATCAGGCTCAGACCATATATGTTTGGCATACATATAGAATCACATGAACACAAGTACAGTAAGTTAAAGTAACACACCCACTCAGGCTTCCATCTGCGTTTTATGCCACAAATCCCTTTATTTTCTTCTTTTATTTAGCAATTAACTTCTCCATTTATTCTGTAGTTAAAAGCTGCCGTAAGATGAAAATAGACTAAGTCTGATTTTCGTCTCTCTCACTCTAAATAACATTGAGAGGAGACTCAGACCTGGATTCTGAAAGCTGTGCTCCCTAAAAGTGCCAGGTGTGGCTGTGATTTGGACAAGAGTCCTATCCACAGAATAGTAAGGAACACTTTTAACCCCCACCTGGGTTACCCAGCCGTTGTGTTCTGGCTGTTCTTGTTTATTCCTTGCTCAGAGCAGATGGATGGAGAGAGGCAGGGAACGGGGAGGATCCTTGGCTCCATTCCCTATCCACCGGCCAGCGCAGCTGAGACGGGCTGGGGGAGATTCTAATTTGTTGCAGCCCTGCACCAGAGAGCAGAGAGAGGAGAGCAGGGACTCAGAGGTGTCCTCAGAGCTGGCACTGCCCCTTCCTCGGGGTCCTGTGAAGTGCTGAAATCTGCTGTTCAGTGCAGTGGCTCCCGGGACCGACGCCGAGCAAAGCTGTGCAAGGCAGCCCCATCCTCCCGGGATGCATCCCCAGCTCTGCCCAAGCTACCTTCAGCCTTAACTTTTTAATTTCCTGCATCCCTGAGCAGCACAGGAGGGGCCCTGCGGACTGGAGGCCGCTAAATGTGTTAAAACTCATTAGGTTTGGAGCAGAAGACCCTTAAAACTAGCCAAGAGTCTCAAACGTGGGTGCCAGAAATTAAACACCTAATTCAATGTTTAGCCACCTACCTTTAGTTCCTTCCTCACAGTTAACATACGCCGTGCCACCTCATAGGTGGCCTGATTTTCATAGGCACCAGGCACCTACAACTAACTCAAGTGTTGAGACTGCTCACCTAAGTGAGACTTGTAGAATTCAAAGTTTTTCTGGGTGATTAAACAGGAGTCCCCTCGCTCCCAGCTCCCGAAAGGAGCTTCGATAGAATGACCAGCACTGTAACATATGGCTTAGCAAGGGGAGGAAAAAAAAAGAAGAAAATGAGTATTAGAAATGGATGGACTAAAGAATACGCAGGATATATCAGGCACATTAACCAAACATATGGTGCTAAATGAGATATTTTTTTTAAATTGCAAAAAAATTGACATTCCTGGCAGTCTCAAGGATAATGTGACATGGCTGTGATAAATTTAGAAGAATGGGACATATTTTGGCTTGTTCTTGGAAACCTTTTTCTTGCATGCCGACTGTATTTCTTCTTTTATTAACCCATTCAAAGAATGTTTGAATTTTGCTGCTAGAGCACCATGCTAGCGCAACATAAAATGTGAATGATGCTAATTGCTTTGCACTGCCTAACTTTCTGTCATACCCTCCCCTCTTAAAGGACAAAACATGCTTTGGAAATGAGCTGGCAAGCTCATCTTCTTCTTTCTCCTGGTCAATATTAAGTGATGTAATTAAGCTCCTGTTTGCATATTCTTCTGAACTAGGAAGCAGCCATTTTTTTCTTGAGATCTGATGGATGTGATCACTCAAAATAAAATGTGTCATTACAAACCCCAAACAAAACAAAAACATGGTATAGTTGGACTGTTCCAAACCAATACATTTCAAAATACCCTGGGAAAAAAATAAATAAATGAACCAAACTTGTGATAATAATGGCAATCAGAACGATAACAAACAAATAGAGCAAAAGAAGTAGCAACCAATTATCAGTGCTTCAGTTTGTTTTTCTACTCAATTTCCCTGCATAGGGTTACATTAAAATCTCTATTTTCACATGAAAGCCTCTGCCTCAACCTTAGAAAACCCATCCCCACATGAACATGCCACTGCTCAGCATTGCCACACTCAAGGTCATTCATCAGCTTCTTTGTAGCTCCTCAAGTTCCAGTGTTTGGACACAATCACACGAACTTGCTGCAGCTTTTAACCATTTTCCACTCCCTCCTTCCACAACCCTGCTGTGGTTTAGAGATGAGTCCTGCAGGGTTTTTTTTTTAAACACAGGGGTAAAAGAAAAGCTGTTTCATTTTTTTCAGAAGCTTTATTATCTTTGCCCTGAAGAGGGTTTGTAGCCAGGGAAAGCAGGGAGCAGCTGGGCCACAGAGTTGAGATCTCATTCCTCCCCTGGCCTCTGTCACCTGCCCAGGGCTCAGGTAACTCATGTCCCACCTGGGTCCCTGCTCATGGGCTGCACAATCTTGCTCTTGGAGCAGCTCCCACGCTGGAAAATTTTAGTGACCTCCCCTGTGCATAAAAGTCTCTTGGAGTGTCCATAATATTTTGTACTTAGAGCTGGGGTTGACACTCATTTGGTGTTTCCATCCCCAGTTCTTCCATCATAGGGAAATCTGGGTCAGCAGCACCATTAATTCCTTTGAGTGTCCTTGCCCTGAATGTGGACATGCCATGACCAAGTTACATCCCACTGGAGCAGAAATTCAGCAGGCTGCTCTGGAATATTTCATTGAAACACCTCAGTTCAATCTCCTTTTCTCTCTTCCCCCGAAACTGAATTAATCTATGCTTTTGTTCCTACTCCAAAGTCACTAAGACCACATAAAAAAAAACCCACAACAAAAACAAACAAACAAAAACCAAAAAACAAACAAACAAAAACTTCCCCAAAAACCCCAAAAAATTACACCCCCAACCCAATATTTTTCTTGCACCATAGTCAGTTCTAAGCTTTGATTTTTCAAATGTTAAATCTGTAACCTTTCCTAAAAGCCACCATAACAACAAACCTTGTATCAAACAAGTTTTGAGGCAGAAAGCTGCAAGTACAACACTGGAACTCAAACCATCCCCTCACTTTGTTTAACTTACAGAAATATAAACTCCAAAGCCTCACTGAAACCATTAAGGCCCAGCAGTGCAGAGTATAAAGTACAAGAAGGCTCCTGCATATTGCAATCAACATCCCAGGGACTATAAAACTAGTCTTATTAAATATAAAGTTAATAATATAGCCCAGAGATAATCTTGTCCAGGCCTCTCTCTTTACTTTTTTAACAATTAAATACTATAAAACACAGAGTTGGAAATAAAATTAAATTACTTTGCTGGTGGAAGTTCAACTTGCCCACTACGTGATATTTTGCTTTTCCCCCTGAAATCTCCACCTTTGTTTTGCTGTATCCCTATGGATATGCAGAATGCCTGATGGGCTGTATATACTGGAAATCTTGAGTTTTCAGGATACATTCTGATAGTCAGAATACCCAGATGCATCTGTAACTGCAAAAATATAGGCTAGTGCAGACAAACGTGCATACTTTTCATTTATATCCTGTAAAATTATTCCATCCAAGCATGTACCATACACAGAAAAGGCTCAGGTTTTAAAAGCCCGTTGCAATGTGTTCATTCCATTAATTTTTTTTGATACCACAGCTATGTTATGGCATCAACAGGAGTTATTCTCACCCTGTATACCAAACCAGTCAGATGAGTACCACACCATTTCTGCCTGTCCATGGCAGAGGTTTCACCCAGTGACAACTTAACTCTGATTTTCATTGGGAGCCTTTGATGCAGTTCAAGGGCATTGTAACAACTCCAGAATAATTCCAATGCAGCTTCTAATATCAGGACATAAATACCATTCACCCTTTAAAAAAAAAAAAAATTGAAAGCGAAAGAGAGCCACATAAATGTATAACTTTCAAATACCTTTGAAGTCAAGAGAGTGAGGGGAGGAAGAGTTTGAACTCAGAGAACTCCATTCTCTGGTTGTGCCTTGAGTCGTGCGGCACATTTAAAAGATCCATTTGCAATAATCTACTAAAACCAAGGAGTGAAAGACAGAACTCATAAAAAACCTGTAAAAATCCAAATGCTCCAGCTATTACAGATTTCTAAAAATAAAGCAGAGTAGGTTTCAGTAGCAATAATAAGCTGCATCTTGTCTGTATTTCAGCTTTATAAGAAAAATATGGCTGCCTTTTAGTACTCATGGCTCAGAGCAAACCATGGCTGCTTCTGCCTCGACAAAACCAAAACCCCACAAATAAAAGTGAGCTTTCAGCTTGCTGTTGTGTTGCGTTTCATTTGTCCTTTAAGTGTGTCTAGCTGCTTCTGCACCCCCTTTCACAATGCATAGGCTGTCGTTCCATGACCTAGCATTATTAAATTGCACTTATCAATCATTCTTGCCAGGAATGCCATCGCCAACTACATTAAAGAAGTCAGAGAAGTCTGGTTTCAGCAGTCCCTCGCCTTCGCAGACCTCCTCCCTTGGAACGGCTTTCACACAGCACCATCGACCTGTCATTACAGGACCCAGAGGTGAGGCCTTTCCCGAGAGCCCCCAGCACTGGAGGGCAGCCAGGGCGCCGTGGCCGTGCCAGCGCCGCTCCAGGAAAGCCATCGCCGCCTGGGACCGCCCGCGAGGGGCTGCGCCACACCCAGCAGGGCTTAGGGCTCACAGGCTGCTTCTCTTAGGCTGGGCCGCTTTTGGGAGAGCTCCTGACGACCACCCCAGGTGGAAACGCTGGTTTCTGGGGCCTTGGGGTTTTGTTGGAAGAGGGTGCGGGGAAAGGGACAGGATGTGTCTTCTGCTCGTGGCCATCCATCACGTTGACTCGGTCCAACTGCTCGAGACAGGGACCCATCCATCACTTCTGACCCACGCCTGTCTTCCAGCTCTGTGGACTTCCTTCTGCCAGTCATTTATTCTTGTGCTGCTGGTGTCAGTGTGCCTTGTTAGGGGACTCCTTTGAAGTTGGTTCCTGCAATACTTTGGCTGGTTTCCTTCTCAGTACTCTTCTGACTGACTTTCCAAGTAAAAGAGATGTCCTCTGGGTCTAGATGTGTTTATACAGTTTTGTTAGAAAGATGCATTTGCATTTAGCCTAGAAAACTAAATGCAATACGGAGTTCACGTTTGAAAAGGAACTCACTTGGGCATAGAAGAGACACAAATGAATGAATCCTCTTACAAACCTCTTTGGAAGATATAAAAATAGGAGTGAATGGTTGTGACACGTTTCTTTCTGCTATGAAATTTTGTCTCATTTAGAGAAGATTATTAAGGAATTGGTCGAATGGTGAAGCATAAAAATGCATATTAGCAATTCATCCTAGAAATTATCTGGAAATGTCTGTTTGGCATCAGCCTGGTTTTACTGAGGGCAGCATAAACCAGGAGGAGCCTCTTTGTCTGCACATCCAGGTGATGTGGTGAGAAATGGTGGAGTTGCACAAAGTTGAAGCAAGGTCAGACTTGCACTTCAGGAGGTTTTTGTGCTTTGTTAAATCTGCTTATTGTAGTTTGATTTGTTGTGGTTAATCCATAAAAATTATTCATTACCCTTAGACATGCACCTAGATCCTCAGAAGAAATTTAGGCATCTAAGCTCTACAGAGATTTCCCTTGAAATTTGGATCCGAGCTGTCTGGCAAATATGTCCTCTTTTAAAAGCCTTGATAATTGGTGATACAAGTATGACTAATATGAAGCTTCCATTAACATTCTATTCAGTGCACATCAGCTGACTCCCAATTCCTGTCTTTTAGAAGTTCAGCCTTTTAGATTTCAGTTGTTGATTGATTAGTTAATAGGCCTTTCTTTATTTAGCTGTGTTTTACCTCACACTAATTTTTTAAGATCATTGACTGCCTTTGTCTGCCCCTGTTTAGACCCTCTGTGCTTTGGATTCTTGTGTGGTTGAGAGAGGAAATGTCTCAGTGGTGAGGCCTTGTTTAAATCTCATCTACAGTCTGTTTTCACAAGACTTTTTCTGTGCACTGAGGGATTTCTACTGGCTACGTGAGAAGAACATTCAGTGGGAGCCAGAAAAGCAAATAGAATCATTACAGTCCCACATTTTGTTTGTTTGGAAGGAGATGTTCTTTACTAACTCCACAAAGAAGCAACACAGCTTTTAAATCGTCATGGTTCCTAAAAAGTTAACCAAAACTGTTCTTCTGCAACATCATTTAGAAGCATATTCTATTTTATGCTCGTTCGCAAACAAAGTCTCACTGACTTTCAGCCATCCATGGTTTCTTTAAGTGCCATCATCCTGAAAAAATCTTGTCCCAGACTCCATCCTTTGTTCTTTTGGGACATTCCTCCTCAGTATTCTTCATCCACAGCACACTGGCTGTGTTTATTTCCCTGCTGCAACAATCATTCTGTTAGTAAAGGGTGATACACTGAGATGGATTATTTTCTGCAAATCCAGCTTTGTTCTTTATCCCATTGCCTCCGGCGTACTTTAGGGACAGTAAGCAGAAGAGAGAAGCTTTTCAGGTATCAGAAGTGGCAACATAAAGAGTATAATGCTGTGGTATAAGAGGATATAATTGAGAGATTCACTTCCACCAGCAGTGACTGGGAGTTGTGCCTCTGCAGGGATGATGGTACAGCACACACAGGCTAAATTCCCTCTGGACACAGGTGCATTATGTAAATGGTCAATGGCAGGTCATTCTGAGGGGTCTTTGGAAAACAAAGAGCAGGATTTAATCTCCATTGTGCAGGGGGATTTCGGAGGAAGGGGAGTTGTGAGTAAGTAGGTCACCACCAGAGTAAGCTCCTCAGCCAACACGACGATCACAAGGAGGTTCCATCTCCTTCTCATGCTCGTATGTGCAAGTTTATCACTTGGATGTGTGTATGAGATGCATTTGTAAAGCATGATCAAAATAGACAGCAGAGAAGAAGCTGTAGACTATTCATGGCAGGTGTTGGCATTGACAACCAGCGATTTATAACTTCTCGGGAATATTCCCGAATCTTTCACACGCTTCCAAGCATCCCTTGGAACACACTGCACATCTGATGCTGGGGTGTCCCAGGATACTGAATGCCCTTCCCTGTGGTCCCCACAATGAGTCATTCTGGAAACAAAACTTCCTTGGAGGAGGAGTAAGATCCTTGAGAGGATTTCCTCGCTCTGAGGTGCTCCACCCAACGAACCAGTTGGAAAACCTCTGCTCTCGTGGAATTGCCTGGATGTGCTGTGCTGTGGAAGGCTGTGCCCTCGTTCCTGTGAGCTCTGGTGCTGCTGCCAGTGCCCAGCCCAGCTGGGCAGTAGCCAGGAGAGAGGATCCGAGCTGGCTGACCAGCAGACCAGATGTGCAGCAAGTGCTGGCGCAGGGATGCCAATGCTTCAGTGACTCCTCAGTACTTCCAACAGATGGTGGCAAGATCCAAGTTTCTTTGGTGATAAGCTAGCAAAGTGATTCATGGAGCCTCACTTGATGATGGCAGTTTTTTGGGCATGACTCTATGAATGCACCATATGTCTTCTCTGGACCAGCGTGGTTAGGATTCAGTGTCTGGCAGATGGTAAATTGATCACCTATAGGGTGGCTTTAGCATCACTATCAGTTTTAGAATTTATTTCAAAGCCTTGAAAATTCAAGCAGCCAGATCTCTCTCCTACTCAGGCATACTTTTGTTACCTGCAAATGAGATTATTTGGTGGTCAGCATGGCTCACCACAGCACTCCAGCATTGCAAAGCCATTATGGATTGCTGGCATCTCACAAAGCTTCCCAGAACACTTGAACTCTTCACCAGGCAGTGAAGGATTTAAATACTATGGGTGACAGCAGTATTTACATAAATGGTTTTAGGCTTCCATGTATTGCTCCTTACACTCTGGTGACTTTATAACTGGAGCTGGCTGAAACGTTAAATTGACCACGATCTTGTAAAGCCGGGATGTACAGCAGCCTGTGCTGCAGAGCATTCAAGCATTCCCATGGAATATGACAGTGTGGATCCTGCAAGCCAAAAAAGCAAGGAAAGAAAAGGCAAGGAAAGGAAAGAAAATAACAATGAGATGGTGTGTTAGGAAGATAAATGAAGGAGAAACACAATTACAAGAAGCAAGAAATACAGCACGAAGGCAAGAACCCAAGGAAGGGGGTGTGTGAGAAGAAGGGATGAAAGTCAACTAGTGGACTGGTTTCCATTATATTAATTTCCTCCATAATTACCATTGCCACTTAGACTTTTATCAGGACAAGGCCTGCCAGGGAAACGCTGCAGCACAGTACTCTCTGTCCATGCCAAAGTGGCAAAACCTTTATGTCACATATCTGGAACGATACTGTGTCCTTCTCTATCAGCATCCTCCACTGGGTCACCAAAGTCCTGGTGCCTGCTCGCTGTCCTGTCAGCCAGCTCCAAGGGAATCAAAGTGAAGGCTCCTGGTGTACACTGCACAAAGGCATTTTGTGATGTCCCATTCTGTCACACGAGTCTCTGTGGCCGCTTCTTGGTGCTGTCAGCTGGCACAGTGGTGTCACCTTCTACTCCCCTCTGGATTTTGACAAAAACAAGCCAGACACAGAGAGTGGTGTCAGAGAGCCAGGAGAGTCACACCACAAGGGCGAGGAAGCCACAAACAGCACAGGGCTGACCATCAGATGAGTTTGCATGATGCAGTTTACAATGTCAGGACAGCTGACTGAGCAGGGGAAGATTTTGATTTTCTGCACTCACTCTGGAGCAACCTGGTGCTGAAGGAAAAGCAGTTTCCCAACAGATGGCCTCAAGGTCGGGCTTTAGCCATGCCACAATCCCCAAACTGCTGCAGCCCGGGCAGGGAGGGCAGAGAGGGAGACCTGCAAAGGGTTAAAGCTCCAGCTAAACAAAAGTCAGCGACCGTGTAATTAAAACTCTACCTTTGTTGTATTGTCAAGAGTTAGCCTGTGACATAGGAAATATTTAAAGGAGCAGGCTGTTCAGCTAATTTGTGTGTGAGTGAACTGCTTAGACAGTCCTATCCTAAATTAACTGTAAGGCCACCCACCGAGCTCGCCTCATAAAGGGCCACGATTGCTCAGCTCCGTTCTGTATAACCCTTCAATAATTACTAGATAAATGCATAACTAAAACCTCTATTACACTAATAATTTGTACTGAGATAGATGTGTGGGACACCATGCTGGGTTAATTTGTCATCCCTGCAGCAAACTTCTGAAGAGGGCTCTTTTGCAGAGGAGTTGTGTTAATATGTTGCTCCAGTGAGGACATGTTAGAGCAACAAGATGACTTGGTCGCTTAATCTCCTAAAGAGGCAAAATGCCTGGAGGGGAAGTGCCAGAAAGAAGAAAGGGGGGTGATTAATACAGTGGACCCAGATTTAAACTCATCCTGACAAAAGGAGCTGATCTAACTGAGCAAAAGAATGGGGGGAAAAAAAAGGGGGAGTGTTAAAAATACTAATAGGATTTCATGCATCCCTAAAAAAATAATATAAAAATAAAGTGCTGCAGGAACAAAGTATTTTGCCCGTGCTTTTCCTGATGCTGTGTTTGGTTCCTTT